AGAGCAGACGAAGAAGTGCAGACGAAGAAGAGAACATCAGGTGACCTTGCTAGGAGTTATATCTCCTCTTGACCACAAAGCCCCCTGGGGAATGTAGTTCTTCTTCTCTTCCGGGCAGGTACCCAGAACTTGAGCATTAACAGTTAAACTCCCAGTGCACTACATGATGTTATGATGTGGAATACTGATAACAAAAAATCATAAAACCATGACATTGTTTGTTGTTTTTCTTTTCCTATCTTCTACCAAAAGCGTAGCACAGGAGTGTCAAAACTACTTTTATTGGATTCTTTGCCGTAATCATATGCAGGAGTCATGGTAGAACAGTCCTAGGACTCCCTTGAAGCCCTTTCTAAACACCAGTATGTTAAGCTATAATTTACTGAAAATGCGAGATGGACAAAAAGGTGCTTGAGAACAGAAAGTCATGAGGATATTGCAGAAGCTGGTAAGTAGAAAACAGTTAACGTTAGCTGAAAGACATTATAATGCCTTTTCTGGAGTTGAACATGTGATCCCATGAGGATTTATATCTGATTGATAGATACACACGTTCGCAGTATGCTTTTGAGACATTCTAAACTAGAAATAGTTTAATTGAAAAAGGGATGAAAATCTGTAGAACTGTAGGAGGATTCATCTCACACGGAGTGGTTAATATTAATATTAATATGGGGTGGTGGAGCTCAAGGAAGAGGTGCAGTGACTTTGGACCATCAGGGAGTGCGAGTGGGAGATCGACTGGTGGAGTGACTCGCTGGCTTGCCAGAGGGAAGGGTTCTGGGAAAATACCCCCAGAAAGGTGATGTATACCCTGCCCTGTCACAGTCGGACAGACCTGACTCATGAGGAGGGTTGGAAGAAAGTCCCTACTTGGTGTCACAGGAGCCCCTCCTGCCTGCCTAGCCCACTTCCCCAGCTCCCTTTAAGAAACAGGTTCCACAGTTGCTGGAAACTGAAGGAGAGGTGAGTGGAGAGGCGATGGAGGATCTGCCTAGGAGGGAGCCTAGGGCGAGGTGGTCACCCCCACACCTTGAGACTGCTTCTGACAGGAAAGAAAGAAAGGTGGTCACGGTGAGTGACTCTCTTCTCAGAGGAACAGAGGGTCCCATATGCAGACCTTACCCAGGCCGCTGGGAAGTGTGCTGCCTTCCTGGGGCTCTAGTCAAGTACATAACCAGGAAACTCCCTAAGCTGGTTAGGTCATCTGATTACTTTCCATTATTCATAGTTCAGGGAAGTGATGAAATTGCTCAGACAAGCCTACAAACTATGAAAAAAGATTTCAGGGTTTTAGGGCATTTAGTTCAAGAAGTGGGAGTTCAATTGATCTTCTGCTCTATACTTTCAGGGGCAGTGAGGGACAAAGAGCAGATAGGAAAGCATGAGCAATGAGTAATTGGCTCAGAGGCTGATGTTGAGCCAGAAACTTTGGGTTCTTTGATCAAGGGGCAGTTTACTCAGCCCCTGGCCTATTGCCTGTCCATGGAAGCCACCTATTTCAAAGGGGGCAATGAATCCTAACGCAGGAGCTAGTGGGGCTTATTGAAAGAGCTTTAAACTAGCTACAAAGGGGCAAGGGGACAAAACAGGCTTCATCAAGAGATGAGCCTAGGGGAACAATGCTTGAGCTGGGGGTGAGGCAGATGATTTGACTGAAGTGCATCTATACCAATGCACGCAGCATGAGCAACAAGCAGGAAGAATTGGAAGTGATTGTGAGTCAGGCTAATTATGACCTAGTTGTTATTACTGAAACATGGTGGGACCACTCCCAACTGGAGTGCTGTGATGGATGGCTACAAGCTCTTCAGAAGGGATAGACGAGGAAAGAAGGGTGGTGGTGTGGCCCTTTGTATTAAAGACTGTTTCGATGTTGAAGATCTTGGGGTTGGGAATGACAGAGTTGAGTGTCTATGGGTAAGGATCAGGGGGAAGGCCTGTAGGGGCAACATCTTGGTGGGGGTCTGTTATAGACCACCTAATCAGGATGAAGAGTTGGATGAGGCATTCTATGAGCAGCTCGTGGAAGTCACGTGATTGCCAGCACTTGTTGTCATGGGAGACTTCAACTTCCCTGATATATGTTGGAAATATAATACAGCACAGAGGAAGCAGTCCAGGAGATTTCTAGACTGCATGGAAGATAGCTTCCTTATGCAACTGGTAGGAGAGCCTACCAGGGGTGGTGCCCTGCTAGACCTGGTCTTCACTAACAGAGAAGGACTGGTAGGAGATGTGAAGGTTGAGGACTGTCTTGGGCAGAGCAAACATGGAATTGTAGAATTCTCTATTCCTGGAGATGTCAGAAGGGTGACCAGCAAAACTACTATCTTGAGCTTCCAGAGGGTGGACTTTGATCTGTTTAGAATGCTTGTAGCATGTGCCCCTTGGGAGTCACATCTTAAAGGTAAAGGGGTCCAGGAAGCCTGGACGCTCCTCAAGATGGAAATCCTAAAGGCACAAGAACAGGCTGTACCTGAGTGCCATAGGTAGGAGGAAACAACCAGTGCGCATAAGCTGGGAACTACTGTTGAGACCCTGGAAGAAAAAGAGAGTCTATGTCCTCTGGAAGAAGGGACACTGGGGAGATTACAAGGAATCTACTTGGGGAGATTACAAGAAGTTGCTAAGGTATGCAGGGAGGAAGTTAGGAAGGCAAAAGCCCAACTTGAACGCAGGCCACTGCAGTAAAAGAGAATAAAAAATGCTTCTATAAATATATCAGTGGTAAAAGAAGAACCAAGGAGAATTTTTATCCTATACTTGATGAAGCAAGGAATGTGAACATTGAGGATATGAAGAAGGCTGAGGTCTTCAACGCCTTCTTTGCATCCGCCTTTAATAGCCAGACCAGTTATCCTACAGGCATTTTACACCCTGATCTGGAAGTATGGGATGCTACTCAGAAGCGATTCAGGTGGAGACAGCTAAAGAGCTCCTCCTCCATCTGGACTGTCACAGGTCCGTGGGACTGGATGGGCTACACCCTCGGGTGCTGAGTGAACTGGAGGGGGTGATTGCCAAGCCGCTCTCGGCCATCTACCAGCGCTCCTGGTTATCTGGAGAGGTCCCAGAGAATTGGAGGCTTGCTGGTATGACTCCCATCTACAAGAAAGGGCCATAAGGAGGATCCAGGGAACTATAGGCCTGTCAGCCTGACCTCGGTACCAGGGAAAGTTATGGAGCAAATCATTTTGGGTGAGATCACACTGCACGTGTGTGGCATCCGAGGGATCAGGCCCAGCCAGCACGGGTTCATGAAAGGCGGGTCGTGCTTGACCAACCTCATCTCCTTCTATGACCGTATGACCAGACTGGTAGACGAGGGAAAGGCTGTTAATGTAGTCTACCTAGACCTCAGCAAAGCTTTTGACATGGTCTCTCACAGTATTCTTCTGGGGAAACTGGCTACCCATGGCCTGGACAGGTATACCCTTGTTTGAGTAAGAAAGTGGCTAGAGGGCCATGCCCAATGGGTAGTGGTCAATGGAGTTAAGTCCAGCTGACAATCCGTTACGAGTGGTCTCCCCCAGGGGTCGGTACTGGGGCCCATCTTGTTTAATATCTTTATTGATGACCTAGATGAGGGCATTAAGTGTACCCTCAGTAAGTTTGCAGATGACACCAAGTTGGGTGATGGTGTTGATCTGCCTGAGGGTAGGGAGGCCCTTCAGAGGGATTTAGATAAGCTGGATTGCTGGGCTGAAGTGAATGGAATGAGATTCAACAAGGCCAACTGCCAGGTCCTGCACTATGGGCACAACAACCCCATGCAGCGTTACAGGCTTGGGAACGAGTGGCTGGATGAGTGTGAAGAAGAAAAGGACCTGGGGGTGTTGGTTGATGCTCGGCTGAACATGAGCCGACAGTGTGCCCAGGCGACCAAGATGGCCAACGGCATCCTGACCTGCATTAGAAATAGTGTGGCCAGCAGGAGCAGGGAGGTGATCTGTACTCAGCACTGGTGAGGCTGCACCTCGAGTATTGTGTTCAGTTTTGGGCCCCTCACTACATGAAAGACATTGAGGCTCTGGAACGTGTCCAGAGAAGGGCAACGAAACTGGTGAGGGGTCTGGAGCACAAATCTTATGAGGAGTGGCTGAAGGAGCTGGGATTGTTCAGTCTGGAGAAGAGGAGGCTCAGGGGAGACCTCATTGCACTCTACAACTTCCTGAAAGGAGGTTGTGATGAGGAGAGGTTTGGCCTCTTCTCCCAGGCAACAAACAGGACCCGAGGAAATGGCCACAAGTTGTACCAGAGGAGTTAGACATGAGGAAAAACTTTTTTTCTCAGAGAGTGGTCAGGCACTGGAATGGCTGCCCAGGGAGGTGGTGGAGTTGCCATCCCTGGCAGTGTTCAAGAGGCGTCTGGATGAGGTGCTATGAGATATGGTTTAGTTTGTGGTAGCAATGGTAATAAGACGGTTGTACTGGATGATCTTGCAGGTCGTTTCCAACCTTGTGATTCTATGATTCTATGATTCTGTTTAAAATCTGTTTCTGCCATTCCGTTCTTCCAAGGGAAGGAGATTAATCGCTGCATTTGAGTGAAAGCCGCACCTACGCAAAGCACCACAAAACTGTTCATCCTTATGTTTTTCAGTGGAATAAATCCCAAAGTACCTTTGGTTTGTGCTGCCACTGGCCACACAGCAGCATGTTTCATGCCCTGTGTGCAGCAAGAATGAATGGGAGCCCCAGGGATTCTCAGGACAAGATCTTATCCCAGAGAGAATCAGCTCACTAATATCACTACTTATGACCTTCAGAAAAAGCCTCCAATCCCTGAAACAAGTTTTATCATCTTATAGATGAAAATAGGTTGAATTTTGTCTACAGTAAAAGGAAGCCATGAGTTGTAAAGTCTAAAATGATCTTATGCAAGTTACTGAATACACAGAGAAGTGTAATTTCCAGGACAAAAGCATAAAAGTGTAAAACAGGGACCATGAAATCAGATTTTCTTTTTTTTCAGAGACAGAACAAAATGTTTGGCTTAATTTCTGAAGCAGAGGCATGATTTGCTGACTTCTGTGAACCAGTGAAGTTTTTGTGCACCTGTAACAGAGACGGTAATGTAACAGTTTTCTGTCTTGCCCTCAGTCTAGGCATAGTACAAAGAGCAGAACAAATTCCTGAGAAATTGGTTGTGCTTTGTGGCTCTGAAGTGTTCCTTCTTGTTCCCCAAACAACTTTCATATGATGACTGGGATTTTGAAAACCATGCTGAGCTGACCCAACTTTCCTCCTAAATGTCACAGGAAGTGCTGGAATCCTCTTCTCCTGTGGTTAGCCTGTGACATGTACAGGCTTTGGAAACTATAAAACAGCAGAGTTTTCCACATGAATTGAAAATAAATGCAGTGTCCTGAGAAAAGTTTCAAAAGTTGGACAGATCTTACATGTCAGAACTGAGTGTCACTTAGAGGCTATACGTACAATGTCGTGCAACCTCTCTTTTCTCCCCAGGAAGCACAGAAGAACTGGCAGACTCTTTCATGCACTGTAGATGATGAAATCATGACCCATTGACGTTAGTGGGAATCATGTCACTGGATGAGATGTAGCCAGGGTTTTACCCTCTGTCTGTGTATGTCATCCAAAATTGGAGATGCACTGAATACTGTCTCCATTTTATTACCCAGAATTTCAGATATTGCCTTTGTCCTATTTCCTTCTCAACTTTCCAATATACATGTTTTGTTGGCTGACTGTTTTGAATGAGAATAATCTTTCCATGGGAAGTTACTTTGTTTTCTTCCTGGGTATACCATTTGCTATGATCTAAAACAGTAGGGTCAGTGGGATTCCTCAACCACTTCCTTTTCTGTTGCCTTCATTGTACCAGGGATTTGAAGTATTAATGATTATTCAACCCTGAAGATGCGTTTATCACGTAGACTGTAGATCAAGGTGCATGTCTCTTTTCCTTCAGAGAAAGAGAGAGAATGAGAGAGAAAGAGAGAAAGAGATTAAAAAGGAGAAGGAAACACTTGCTTGGAAAAACTTGGTGCATTTAAGAACTTTCAATTCTAAGTACTAATCTAATGAAGAAAATTATAATTACTTGTACTTTTGCGATTATAACCCATATAATTATAGAATCATTTACATTGTGAAAGATCTTAAAAATCTTAAAAAAACACTCATCAATGTGACTAAGTTTTATGGTGCTTTGTATTAATTATTGGTACCTATTCTCACAAGAGAAAGGTATAGTTATATTTTTATTAATCAGGATAAGTTTTTTTGTTTAGTATATCAGCTGAAGATTTACTAGGTATGCAGGGGGACAGTGGTTACCTTTTTGGTTCAATGACAAAAAAGAGTCATTTTGTCCCAGGTATTTTCCACAAGCCCTTGTAATATTTCAGAACAGAGTAAAACTTTCACATCTTCAGATAACTTGTGAGTCCCTTTTTACTTTCCCAGAGTGTTTTAGAGTGACACACCGAGAGTTCCCACTTTAACATTACCTAGTATAGAAAACATGAGTTGGACAACACTGAATCATAAAATTATCAAGGACATAAAAGACCACCAAGATCACCCCCAAGTCCAACTGCCCACCTACCACCAACATTTCCACACTAAATCATGTCCCTTAGTACTGTATCTAAATATTTCTTCAACATCTCCAGGGATGGTGACTCAACCACCTCCCTGGGCAGCTCATTCCAGTACCTGGCCACTCTTTCAGAAGGGAGTGTTCTTCCATTTGCAGAGGAGTGTTCTTATAAAAAAAGGTCTCAAATTAAAGAGATCACTATTTAATAAGAATACACTTGCAGTGAACTTGTTTTAGCAAGTCACTGAAGACTCTTAAAAAAATTGAAGTATGTTGGAAGAAGGACAAAAAAATCCACTTGCATACAAGGAAACTGACAAGGTCTATTTTCACATAAAAACCAACGAAAGACCAGAAAACAATAATGCTAAGGCACAGCTGTTGCCTGGACTGCTTGCACAGCTTCCTGTCAGAAGCAAAGCAAACCAGTTAGCACATTCTAGCCTTCTGTGTCTTAAGTGAGAGTGACTCTACTTTTTGTAACTAGGTAGGAGAGAAATTGAAAGCAACCAGTGATGGTCTGGTTATACTACTTTTACCAAAGGTAGAGAAATTTACAGATATATGTGTGTGGAGTGTACTTTTAGAAATGCTATATATGTTGTATTCAAGATCTTCTGCAAGGCTAAAAGGATGTTTAGAGTTACAATTTAAAAACAGTGGGATTTAGTGCTACAGGTTTTGGCAAATGAATCACTGTAGTTCCTTCAGCTGATGAATTAACGTAGACCCAACAGACTAACATGTACCATGTGTTTGCTCTGGCAGCAAATGTGGAAAAATCATCTGGAGAAAAATTGTATTATTCAACAGATTTCTTCTTGCATTTTGTTTTCTGTTTTACCCTTCCTTTAATTGAAATCTCAAAGGTAGGATTTAGTTTACTACCACATTCATCATGTTGCAAGAAGCTAACAATACTATTTTATGATTTTTTACATATTGGGCTGTGTGTGTCATAGGAAGTCTCTCAACTACTAGAATTGAGCATCACCCTTCTACATCCCATCTTGTGGGTAAATAAAACAGGTGGGTATCAAATCAGAAAATGCACAGTAATTTTTCTATGGTTTCAAACACATTTGCAGCAGGAAGCTTTTGGGCATTTGATTTACAGAAGTTCAAACATCCCTCTTTTCAAGATATTGTATGAAATATTATATGTAACATTAACAAACTAACTCAGTGTTACGAAGAATATATAAATATATTTTAAAGTCCTAGGTTTCTAATTCAGCTGCACAAGTTAGGAGTCTCCATGACTGTAGGAATGAGAAAACCTAAATTAAATGCCTAAATGAAATCTGCAAGTTCACTGTGTCATTTCCTTGAAAATTGCTGTCAAACACTGTTTCTTTTTAAACAAAAGTGATGCTGAAAAAGGACAGCTGCCTGTTTTTAATAACACTTTGATGTTCTTTTTTTTCTTCTTAGACTTCTTTCATTCATTTTTCACCCTTACTTTTCCTTCTTTTCACTTCCTTCCATTCTTCCTCCTCTTCCTCCCTCTTTCCATTCCACCTTCTCTTATTTCTTCCTTCCAATATAATGAATTGTGAGATGTAAATCTAATACCCCTGGCAACGTCAGGTCTCTCTTATCTATAGATTGGGCTACAGAAACAATTTCTACTTCACTGACTGCACCAATTCTTTTTTTGACCACATCTACATACCATAGAAGCTACAAGGCTATTCTTGTACATGAGAATTTAAATTAAACTGAATGTGTCAAAAAACCCCACCTCTCACCAAGTTTTGTGAAGAAGCTAATTTTGTTGTGACATTCTATGAATTTCTACCAATATTATTATGCAGGAAGTAGATTTCATGACATTAATGCCTTTCAGTCCTAAGATTTTTAACAGATGGTATCTTTTCAAATTCTTATTGTCTTTCCCAATCCTTTTAAAAGGTCTCATTTACAAACAGTAAACAAGTAAGTGGTCTTTTCCATCTGCAGAGCATTTAAAATTTTTTTAGCAGTTGGAAAAGTATGCCATGGAAGGTTGGGGTAAAGTGAAGGAAAGAAAGTGACCTCTAATGACCATCAAGCCTGCATTCCCTTTCTTGTGTTCTCTTTCCTCTAAACCAGCAGCTGGCAGCATCCATAGAGACAATGTTCTGTCACCATTCATTTATTCATTCTGTGTCCTTCTCTTCCCACTCATGTCAGGAGTGATGTTCTGGAAATACCTAACAGGGTGAATGGCCAGAAGTAGATACTTAGGGAAAGAAAATAAAAAATAAAACAAGTACAAAGCAGGCTTTGGTTTCATAACTTCCAACTTCAATCATCTGCAGGCCAGGGCCTCCATCAGAATCCCCACTTGTCTATCTGAAATCCTTGTTTTTCTACTTTCTTGAGGTAAGAAGAAAACTGTTGTCAAGTATGGTGGAATAGTCACCTCCTCTGAGGCCATGATCAGAATAACCAACCTCAGAAGGACCAAGAAGTCCTTCTAGACTTTCATTTGCATTGATTTAGGAGCTCAGATCCAGGACAGAAAGGCAAATCAGAATCCAAGAGGGCCTCTGGTTAGCAGAGTCTGAATTGCTCTTGCATAACATCATGGTGTCTGTTTGAGAGCTATCACTGTCAGAAGACGTCGTAAGATATTCATTTCCAAAGGCTGGTTTCAGTCAAATCTTTCACAGCCTTGTAACAATTTTGCTTAATTTAATTTCCTTTTGTTTAATATAATTTCCCTTCTTTTAATCTAATTTCCTATGTTGTGTTTCAATAGAAGATGAAAAGTAAAAAAAAGAAACACAATGTCAAGAACAAGGACAAAAGATAGAAATACTCACACATATATCCAGGCTCTTATGATTAAGTAAGTTATAATTTATGTATTTGGTATGACTGTGGACAAGCAAATGCCATTTTTTGCATTTCTTTTTCTGTGCCTCCGCCTATGCAGTAAGATAGCTCAGTACCAACATCTGTGTTTTACAGGGACATGAAGGAAATTCAAATACCTTGTGCTGTAAGTCAGTGGAGTTTTATTCAAAGTAGCAAGTCTCCAACTAAGGAATTGATGTTGCATGTGCATTCTGGAATGAAACAACAACCTCACTAGCGTTTCTGCCCAACTCATTGTCTTGTCCGCTCCAGCTGGTGCTGGGATATTGTTGATTATATAAAAAGAGGAGATTATTTCATTAATGGTAGAAGGGGGAAAAGCATACCAAAGCTAGCCAAAGAAAACCCTGGTTTGCTAACACAATAAGACAATACTTATAATGACAAAACAATGCAAGCAAGTAAAGAAACAAAAACACAACAAAACCAAGCAACAACAACAAAAACAAATTGATATTTTCCTATAAGTACTAGAAAATACCTAGATTTCAAAATAAAGTTAAACATAATAATGCTGTTTAGATATTTAAAACATCTGATTTTAGAATTTTTTTTCTCAGGAACAAGCAAAAAAAATTATTTGTGGTCATTAGTTGGTTTTTGGCCTTTAAATTTCCCATCCTCTTTCGTTTGTTTAGTCCAAGTGTTGGCATGTACTTAAAATAAGCTTAAATGCCAATTAAAAACTGTTTGAGGTGGATGCTTGAGAAATTACAAGCATCACATGCTGTTTGTTAGACGTTATAGCCTATGACCATAAGGATTATGGGAGCACTCAGTGGGATTTTCATCTTTAATTTTAATTTTGTAGCCTGGCCACAATACTGGCCAATTAATTTAGACTCATAAAAATTAAGATCTCTTTTAGTCCTTGGTTAGACTTATTTGGGGAAATCTTATTAAAACCACACTTCCACTGTTGAAATAAAATGTGCTCACCAATTTCTGTATCTTAGACCAATTTTTTCCTTAGGGAGAAGATAATCTAAAAAATACTATATTCTTACTCACTGGCTTAAGTCTGTTTTCAACAGTTTTATTCTTAGAGAGAGCAAATATACTGCCGTGAAAAAAATTGGCAACAGTAAATATCAATGCTCTGGTGTTGAAGAAATCGTTCTTGTCTTTAACAAGGAGAATGACAATTCAGAATGAAGTTGGAAGGATATGGCTGGCTCAGTAATTAAAAGGAGTGTGACTGTACCAGAAGCTACTCATGCTGCCATTTGTAACAAAAATAATTGACTGAAGAAAATATTGTCTTGGCATTCAGGTATCTCTCCAATATATTTTTTTTTCAAGGAATTCAATGTAGCTTGCTGCAATATTGAAGATTCAATAGGCCGAGATGAGTGGAAAATACAAGGAACTACAGAAATAGCTTCTGAGCATATGTCTATACATGTTCCTGTTGCTAATTTTTTCATGATGTTGCAGATGGAGGGCAGCATCTGCAAAACACACAAGAAGCAAAAAAGGCTGGTGCTGACAAGTTCACCCAAGACAATCAAGGATAAGTTATTGCTTTAACAACATAGTCCTAAACGTGGAGCAGGGCAGAATTACATCACCTAAAGAGGAGCATCTGTGAGATTTTTCTTCTCAAAGCACAGATACCAAAGCCATTTTTCCCTGAGTAGAAAGGTTGGTAGCTTTCCTTGTGACTTGGTGGCAAAAACCTTATTTAGTTAGCCACCTAGGGAATCATTCTTGCCCCTGTCTATTCCATCATCCCAGGATCTAAGCTGCTTGAAAAGATAGGGCACAGTGCTATTTGTCAAAACAGAAGAGTAGGAATTTCAGTTTTACAGACAAATTCATTGCAGTTCAGTTGTACTTCTGCATGTGACTGAAGCAGAGGTGGAAGAATTGTTACTATAGGAAAATAACAATTTAACAAAAAGGTAAGCTGCTCCCTGCCTCGTGTGGGAAACAAGCTCAGGAAAAAGTGTTGAACTTACATGGAACCCCAGTTCTGTGTGAGTGTAACACTTCATTGTGTTAATTCTGTTTTGATCGTCCATAGGTTTTGATTGGCTCAGTGTAGAAATGTTAAATTGTAATTGCTTTGTATACCCAGAGTTACTGTTTACATGACAGATTGAATCTGTTACAATGCAAATTGAAGATGAGATTGCAGCTTGAACTAGAGTGTTAAGACTTCATACGTCATTTGTGCAATGTTAAAATCTATTCCAACATATATTCTTTGTAATCATTATCTCTCAATCTCCTTTTTCTTTGGTTTCAGTTTGTCTGCACAAGTGTCGCCAAATGCAGCAAAAAGGAGGCACCTTATTACTCAAACCTGCTCTGAAGAAACATAGTCCAGTCCAGACAGCAACACTGCATGACATTCATCTCATCTAATTTTAGCCATTTAATAGTTATGCAGCAAGTTGAACTAGTTAACTAATAATCACTGTAGGGGGATGACCATATCTAGGGAATGGATTACCTTCACCTGTGTGTTCTACAGTGAATCATTCTCTGTAGGTACCCATCTCTTTCTGTTGACTGCTCAGGAGCCTAGATGACTAGCTTAGATGCTGAACACAAGAAGGATGTTGGTAGCAGGAGCTGCGTAAGATGAATCCCTCCAAATAGTTTTTATCTATGTAAGACAGGTATGTATCAAGGTATGTTGCTCGTACCCAGTGCTTTACATGCAATATGTACAAGAGAAATTGCTTTAAAAAATTATGAATACAAAGCATGTGATACTATCTTTGAGCCTTCTTTACTTTGGCTAGAGAACAGGGATCCTCTTATCTGTTTCTTCTCATTATTTAGTATGATTAACCTTGAGCTGCCTTTCTTTTCTCAACCATCTTTATGAACAATGCAGAACAGGGAATGATATCACTGCTCTTCATTTATGTTTATATATAGAGCAATGTTTATACAGTGCTCTGTAAGCCACAGAGAGAGACTTAAATACATGTTTAGACCATCAACAATTAATGTTCAGGACCTTATGGAGCTTGGTATTATAGCTGTCAATAAGAGGACAGTAATTGTCCCAAGAACTTAAGTTTCAACAATAGATGTATAAAATTCTCTAGAGTTGACCACGATATTAAAAGGACTGGTCCTAAGGAGCGCATTCATACTACGCCCCAAAGTAATTTTATTTGACTAATGTCAGTCTTGATCAATTATGGTGACTCAGAGCATGAAAAGGTAGGAGCAACTCTGTGTTTGAAATGTCTGACTTTTTCAAACTCATTAGACATCTAGCTTATTCCTGTTCTGAAGAATTGGGAAGAAACAAACCAACTCCCCTACTTCAGCATGTAATGCTTCTATTCAGCAACAAGCAATATTTTCCCCATTACTTCGCTGTTCTTTTGTCAACCTTTTCTATTTTTCTTCCAGCTCAACATGGGAAAGTTGATTGCTTTATCAGATCTGAGTATTTCTTCAGTAAAACTTTCTTATGAATGAAAGGATTACATTTCACAACATCATTTTTTAGGCAGCTAACAAAGATGTCTTTTTTCACTCCTTTTACTTGGAATAACTTCCTAGATTAAAAAAAAAAAAAAATCACAGAAGGGGGGCTAAAAATTTTTACATAAGAACTGCTACTTGTAGGCAACCTTTATATGTTTGACAGTTTGAAAGAAATATTGAAACCTTTGATACACTACACAATTGCCCTTCACTTGAAAATCATTGTAGATCATTCAGCTGCCACGCAGTATTTGTGCTGTGATAACCTACTGGATGAAACTAAACAGTCATAAAAATAATGATTAGGCAAAATGTTGCTATTTCATCCAGCAGTATAGTTATTGTAATAACAGTCTATCTGAGACATGTCAGACTTTTAAAAAGAAGGGTAAAAAAAGAACATTAAAGCAGCCAATGTCTGCTTCCACTGAGCTATTAAATCATATCTCATTTCAAACCAAGGTACATGTTTAAATTTCCATCCAGTCTTAATCCAGTGGCTTTAAGCTAAGCTACTATCTGCTGCTGAACTGGATCTGCTCTTGAATACTGTTTCAGTAATGTTTTTTCTTAACCATGCCAAGCCACTCAGCAAACTCAAGGGCACGGAAGTCTTTCTCCTGCTTTAGGATCATAATTCTTTTTATTTTTCTCCTTTCGCTGCTAGAGTGATCTCCTTTATATAATGCATTATAACTATAATATTATAGGATTACTAATATTGGTATAATAACATCATACTGTTAAATGATTTGTATTTAAACATCCAGTTAAATACTGTACTGGCATATACACCCAAAGGATTGGTATTCATCATGTGTCTACTTTTTTGGGGGTTTTAGTTCAGTTCTCAGTCTCCATGTGTAGTGAAGACTGAGAGAGACACTGTTAAAGGCTACGTTTAGGTGGTTTGGCTTGATCTCCAGAGATGCCTTTTTTATCCATTAACTATACATGAAGTTTGTATCATGCATGACATGTCCATGCCTTAACCAGGATGAATCTAAATTAAAATGCATTTTCACCTTGCACTTTGGAATTCCTGAATTTGTGATGCCGAACTTTGTAAACTCAACAACAATTTTTATTTCTTTCCTTTTGATTCTGTATTTTCAGATATCAATTATATCAGATATATGTTAAAGAAAGAAACAAAAAAAGCAGATGGGTCAGTCACATGTAATATATATATATATGTGCAGTATCTCACAGTGAGTTTATCTCCACAACCTCCCTCTTTCAACTGCCATGTTTCTGATCCCCAACAGCTTGATCCGACTCCACTGCTGAACATGCTGCATTTACACCTTCTTTGTAATGGCAGATAGCCCTGACAACAGTTTTGGAAGATGCTGGTGTTTTCAGGAGATATGAACAACACTAGCAGCAGCTATACTGCCTGTGACATTACTTTGAGCTCCTTTTTCTACTGTGCACTGCAGCCTCCACTCTTTTCTCTAATCGACATCTGTTATTTCTCATCTGCTTCCCTCCAGTCCCTCAGTGCAGGAAACATACATTAAGAAGTGGGAATTTTCTAAACAGATGGAAGTAGGTTGAACAGAACAGTAGGCAGCTGAATTTGGGGCTTTGATCTGTGAAAGAGGTTTTCTTGTTTTGTTGTTTTTCTTTTTTTCTTTCTTTTTTTTTTTTTTTTTTTGCATTGAGATTGTGAGGTCAATGCTCACAAAGTGCTTCAAAATTTTGAATTTGTCTGACCATTTTTCAGGCCTGAATCTCTCCCGTCCCTACATCTTCATAAGATCAAGGTTATTTCTTATAACTTTTCCTGTCCTAGAGTGAAGGGCTATCTAAATGTACAGTTCATGTTGATTTTCTGTCTAACCAAATGTTTTAATTTATCCCTAGACTTGTTCAGAAAGCAGCAATAAAATTTTAAAGTCTGAGATAATGAAATAGTCTTCACAGTGTTGGATAAATCGTGCATTTTTCTCTGTTATCTGGTATTGACTAAATAGACATCTAAAAGTACAAGTAAATTACCTGTACAAGAACAAGATCTCGCAGTGCATGATTATCTCAAGGAAAAAAAAAAAAAAAAAAAAAAAAAAGGAAGAGGTGAAATGATGCAGCAGATATCTGAGGACTTGTCCATTCCCATGTAATCTGAGATATTCAGAACTTTTTTTTGTGGACTTCAATCTTGTAGGAATTGTGTTGAAATTGTTGAAATTCCATACTTGATATTAATCTTTTTTTTTTTTTTTTTTTAATGTATCTGAAAAAATTTTAGTTTTTATATCAGGAGAATCCTACAAAAAATCTTCATGGTTAAGACCTCCGCATCTCAGATGAAACACTGTCTTCCCCATCTGGCAGGGGAGAAAAGTTTGCACAGCTTTTTGTTTCTTTGAACTGTAAAACTGAGATGAACAAGAATTTGTCGTCTTCTTTTGTTTTAGGTGCATGTAAACAGTAACAGTGGTAGATGGACATTTAACAACATCCCATTGTATTTTTACATTTGCTTACAAATATGCTCAAACTTATCTAGAATTTTCTTTTAAATGTGAGCTCTCCCTATGAGGAACAGATTTTCCTAATCCCTCAAATAACTATTCTGAAGTAAACAAACTTTAGCTATAAAACTTTCAGAACAAAATCTTGTGATATATATTTTTCTTTACTTTTCTGGTAGTACAGAGAAGACCTGTACAGTCTGGATCAAGACAGGGGCTTGATCAAACTTCTGTAACACTGCTGCCAAAGTATCTGGTCATTTTCCATCTAACTCAAAACATTTTGTCACACTAGAAAAGAAAAGCTTTCTACTAAGAACTGTGAGGCCTGAAATATTCTGACCCAATGGATCATGGATTTCTCCGTGTCACTTAGCATTGCAGTGCAGTAACATATGTTCCCATACAATTTTGTAATGTGCCCCATATGCTTGCTTTCCCTGATGAAAACTAAGAAGGCAGAAAATTATCCACAGCACTGACACATAAATTTTCTGGGCTTTTTAGTTCTGAGTTTAGATTAATTTCTTTTACTTTTTATATTCTGCCAGGTAAGTGCTCTCCAGTGAATGCCCATATTTCATGAGAAATTTTTAACAACTCTTCATTGAATGAGTGCACATGAGTTCTCATAAGTATCAAGTCACAACATGATAAGTTTATTTTTAAAGCTGGTCATCCAATTTACAAAAAAACAAAAAACAAAACAAAAACAAAAAAAAAACCAAAACCAACAAAAACAAAAACCAACAAAACAGACGACATGTAAAACTTTTAAAATGATTCATCTTCATTCTACAAAACATTAACAAACTGAATATCTAACTCTTCCTAGCATGCAGAGCTTTGCCAGAGATGGATTTGGCCAAAATAAAGATGTGGGTCTGAGCTTTAAACATGGAAATGAATTTAAATGTCTACTGATAAAATTCTGACAAGATTTGAGACAAACAGAAAAAGTGAAATTAGTGAAAAAAGCTCAGGGACATCCAAGTCACAACTCTCTCCACCTCTCTGTGTGTCTGCACATGTAAGTGTCTGTGTTTGCATGTGAAAATAACTATGAAGTTATAGTCTTGGACAGGGCTTCTGACTGCATAATGTTTTAATCTTAATGAGGCCTAACTAACTAAAAACATTTGGAGCAGTGACATAGCTGTGACTTTCTTTCTTTTGGGTGAGCAAAGCTTAACTAAAGACTGGGATGATCTTTCTAAGTGATATGCTGCATAGCAGAGGGTTTTATTGTCAGTTTCATGTTGGTGTTTCTTTTTTTTTTTTTCATTGCATGCAGCACATTTGTTAAAACATCTACTAGAAATTTTGATAATTGCAAGTTATGGCACAAATTATCTCCTTTGGTATATCTAGAAAAACTAACTTAAATTAAAAAAAAAAAAAAAAAAAAGT